TTATTTAGTGTGATAAGCAATATTATGTACATGTTAATCTTAATGTCTGCAATGTAATAAAATACATTGTAAGAGATGCTAAGATGCATTGGCAATTTGAACATCTTGGTCTTTCCTTCTAGCCTATCACTTACTTCAATTAATAAGAATTTCAGAATACTCAGGGAGCAAGCAGCAGGTAGAAGAATCAAGAGGGTGCTGTCTCTCGGGAGTGCTTTCTTTGAGCCAGGTGTGGCAGTTTAGGGCTGTAATCCTAGTACTTAGAAGGTGAAGGCAGGCTGGTCAGAAGTTGAAGGTCAAGAGCTCAGAGATGAGGGTTCCGTGGGTGACATGCTTTAAGGACCTGAGTTCAGGTCCCCAAAACTCATGTGAAAGTCTGGCAGCAGCAGTGGGTGTCTATAAACTTAGTGCTGCGTGGGAGTGGCCAGGGGTTTCAACACAAGAGGATCCTGGGGACTTGGTGGCCAGCCAGTCTATCTGAAAGTGTAACCTTCAGGTTCAGTGAGAGACCCTGTTTCAATAAATAAATAAATAAATAAATAAATAAATAAGGTGGAGAAGAGGCTGAGGAAAACTGATGTTGACATCTGGTTCCCCAAAGCACTGACACAAACAAGTACACTCTTGTGTATACACACACACACACACCTTTTTAAAAAGTGTTTTCTGCTCAAGCTAATTTAGGAAAATATCAACCACTTCTGTTTCTTCTTAAAAGAAATAGGAGAAATATGACTAAACAATAAGAACACATATTAATGTTTTGAGCTAGCAAACTGTGGGCCAAAAAAATACATTGTAAAATCAAATATGAAAAATTTAAAAGGAAAGTAAGTGTATAATAAACCAGATTTTAGCAGAGCATTCAGACAAAAGCAAAGCAGCTGAAGAGGATTTGAACTATAGTGACCTGTGGGCACTCCCCTGGACCACACCCACATAAACAAACACACCACGCCTACACTTTATCAACAAGACCCAAGGCCCTGAGCAGTCAATTTACTTGCAACTTTTGTATCATTTTTATCATCAAGACCCAAGGCCCTGAGCAGTCAATTTACTTGCAACTTTTGTATCATTTGAAGGCTATTCAGAGTAAAGCAGGTATCCCAGAATCTAAAGATGTCTAGAAAGTGAACATGTTACAGGAAACAAAGATAAGCTAATCACCTCAGCTGTACCTAAACACAGTGTTTTCCTAATTCCAATTAGAACAAAGGGAAAATACTGTTTCTCTTGTCAATTGGCATCAAGAATTAAGTTTGCTTTTGAAACTTCAAATTTACTCAATGCCTCAGAAATAACTTTTCTGCACTTAAATTTGATGAAATTTAAATTAGGGATGAAAAGTTACAGCATATATCTTAACACAGGAACTGGATTACTGGGAGCATTATTATTTTGGGTTAGTTTGTGGAGACCTGGTCTTCCTGGGTAACCTAGGCCACCTTCTAGCTCACCATCTTCCTGCCTCTGCCTCTGCCTCTGCCTCTGCCTCTCAAATGCAAGCATTACAGGTGTGCACCACCATCCCAGCTCTGAACTCACCTTGAGACTGTCAAGCAGGTGATCTGTCACTGAGCTGTACCTCTAAGCCCTGTATGTTTTTACTCAGTTTTGTGAATTTATTTGTAAAGAAGGAGGAACTATGGTGGTTAGTCTATTTTTTCTTTAAAAAAAGTTTCAAAATTTAAGAAAGAAGAAGAAATCTGAGAAAATTAACCAGTGACTTCTGTCAATGTAGAATAGTTTATTCATGCACTCAACAGATGATTTAATGCTTGTTTATAAGGTAGAAAGTTACTGAATCTCATTGATCAGCATTTCCTGTTACATATATTTACATAATTAATAAAACACATTTGAGCAGGGCAGTGGTGGCACACACCATTAGCCCCAGCACTTGGGAGGCAAAGGCAGGTGGATCTCTTGAGACCACAGAAAGAGTTCTAGGACAGCAAAGGCTACATAGAGAAACCTATGGGGGGGAGGGGAGGAAGCAAAAAACAAAACAAAACAGAAAAACCACATTTAACTATTTGAATACATTCAGTACATATGCTCATTTATATAATACATTATGTAGCATATGTGTGGTCATTGTTTTTAGATGACTTTTAGAGCCAAACTGAGCAGAAAGTCCTAAATTCCCACACACTCCACTATACCTCTCTCTCCAGGACTTCTCTATAGTCAAAATCTCACTCTAGAGTGCTACATTTGTTACAGTTGATGAAGCAACACGTCCTTATCAGCCAAAGTCCACACTTAATGTTAGCATTCTCTCTTGCTGTACTTTTGGCCTAATGTAAGTACATGCCATGTTTCATCACAGCATCATACAGAGTAATTGGCAATCACTGGTATCTTTTGTTTTTACTTTGCCATTCTTAGAGTATCAGTGTTGAAATCTTGCGGTGTGTTGACTTTTTAGATCGGCGACTTTGAGGCATTTCATCAAAGGTAATATTTTCCTTGGACTGGAGGGATGGCTCAACAGCTAACAGCACTGGCTGCTCTTCCAAAGGACCTGAGTGGCACCTACTTGGCTGTTCACACCATCTGTAACTTCAGTTCTGGGGGACCAGATGGGGGACCAGACGCCCTCTTCTGTCCTCCATGGGCACAGCATGCATTTCCTACAGGGGTCCTTTGAAAGAATAGCAAGTGCTCTTAACAGCTGAACCTGGGGCTATTGTTTGACAGCCAGATTTGAATAGACTAAATTTAACCAAGATGAAGTGCAACATAGTTCATCTTTATTAGGTTATACCAAATTACACCAATTTTCTTTGGCCCTCTGTGCTGCCCACTGTAGCATATGGAATATTTTACTGTAAGGGTCCAGGAAAGATTTGGAAAAATGAAATATGCAACAAAATGCACAAATTGAGCAATTCATGCTATTGACCAAGTCCAAGGGAGTACTGATAACAAGCAGTATTGTTTTGTATACCACTAACACATACACTTTATTTTTTAATGATTTATTTTTATTTTGTGTGCATTAATGTTTTGCCTGCATGTATGTCTGTGAGAGGGTGCCAGATCCCTGGAACTGGAGTTAGACAGTTGTGAGCTGCCATGTGGGAATTAAACCGGGCTCCTCTGGAAGAGGACCATTTCTGAGCCATCTCTCCAGCCCCCATAACAAGCACATTTTAAGAAAAAGAAAGCTGGCCTATTATTTTATTTGTACGATGCCACTGAGTATGAGATGCATTTCCATTTTGGAATCGTAAAAATGCTTCAAGAATTCTTCAAAATTGGGTCTTAGAATTGATTAATCACAATCGTGGCATTTAAAAGCATGTGCTACTATTTCCATGTGTGGATTCCATCCTGCTATAACTATCAACAAGTAACTCTCAACAATTCGAAATTAATTTTTAAGTATGATTCTTTCTTGCTGATTTTACACCAGCAGAACCGCGACATTGCAAACCCTAAATTCTTGTAATTGTAGGTTTTTTGTTTTTGTTTTGGTTTGGTTTGGTTTTTGGTTTTTCTGGGGGGGGGGCGGTTGGTTTGTTTTTCGAGACAGGGTTCCTCTGTATTGCTTTGGAGCCTGTTCTAGCACTCACTCTGTAGAACTCACAGAGATCCACCTGCCTCCACCTCCCGAATGCTGGGATTAAATGTGTGTGCCACCAACGCCCAGCTAATTGTAGTTTATGTATCATGTAAATCATTGATTGAGGCTGCCCAATTATTTTATTTTATTTGGATTTTTCAAGACAGAGTTTTTCTGTGTAACTTTGTAGACCAGGCTGGCCTCGAACTCACATAAGTCTCTTTGCTTCTAGCTCCTAAATGGTGGGATTAAAGGCGTGCACACCAGTGAGGAGTTGAGGCTGCCCAATTATTAACTACCATCAATAGAGGGAGGTCAATGGAGGGAGAACAATCTTAAATAATATAAATGTATCCAGGCTGAAGAAACAAATGGAAACATTACTACCAGCCTCTCCCAGGACTGATTTAAAATTAGGATACTGTTTTGTTTTTCCACTACAGGGATTCACTGAATCTGCCCAGCCTGGCCTGGAACATGTATGTTCAAGTGCAGGTAATCCTCCTGCCTCAGTCCCAGAAGTAACTGGGCTACATACAGGCTTCCCACACAGTGCCAAGCCTTATTTCCCCCATTTCAGCATCGTGTACACGTGTAATTAAACGTTTAAGTCCTAGCAACATTTTAACAGCCTTAAAAAATGTAACGTAATTTAACCCAGTATATCCAAAATCTATTCTTCCCTCAAATAACACGAGATTTATGAATGAGATGGTTTGTCGGCTTCCGCGCCGTACTGGCAATAGTAACAGCCCAGCCCTGCTTGAACTGGCTACATTTCCCTAACTCTCTTGGTTACATCTTCGCCAAGTTACATTCAGCTGCCCTAGTGGACGCACAATCTTGGGCGATTCCAGCCAGCATCAAGGGATTCTTCCAGTTCTGAGCCTGGGGAATTCCTGAAATAACACAGTCTCTTCTTGGCTCCTCCGGATTTGGCCAAGAGAAAGTGTAGAGGCGGCGCGTGCTGCTTAGAGACGGTGCGGGGAGCACACGGAGATTGAACCCGC